CTCTACCCTCTGTTTTGCAACATCGTCTGGGGCGCAATTCATTTCACAGACGTTCTTTCCAGCCATCTTATTGGAGGTCGACCGCTGGAAAGGAGAAGGGTCGTCTGGAAAATTCTGTTTTCTTGTTTTTAGACAAAGCAAGTGGCACGCCTAATAACAAACTCACGTGGTAAAGGTCGCATGAGGATTTTGAGGAAACACATGGTCTAATACCTGTTTTTCTGCAAAACATGATTTCATTGACATTTCTTGATATGAGTGAAGCAAATCTAAACCTTGCATCATCAAACTTGTTTCAAGTACTTGGCAGGCTTTCTTCACTAACATGGTTAAGTCTATTAAGCTGTAGTCTCAAAAATTTTCACTTGCCATCTCGCAACCATCCCCTTAATTTTACATTGCTTGGCAATATTCAGTACTTAGATCTTTCACAGAACTTTTTCAAAGGTCCAATACCTACATTTCTCCAAAACATGACTTGTTTAATATCTCTTTATCTTTTTCACAATGCATTGAGTGAGAGCATTCCAGATAGCATCGGACAACTTTCTCAGTTAGAGAGCATAGATCTTTCTCACAATCAATTGAGTGGGAGTATTCCAAATAGCATCGGACAACTTTCTAAGTTAGAAAGCATATATCTTGATGGCAATCAATTGAATGGGAGTATTCCAAATAGCATCGGGCAACTTTCTAAGTTAGAGAGCATAGATCTCTCTAGCAATAACTTGAGTGGGAGTATTCCAGATAGCATCAAGCAACTTTCTAAGTTAGAGAGCATAGACCTCTCTGGCAATAAATTAAGAGGGAGTATTCCAAATAGCATCAAGCAACTTTCTAAGTTAGAGAGCATAGATCTCTCTCATAATCGATTGAGTGGGACTATTCTAGATAGCATCAAGCAACTTTCTAAGTTAGAAAGCATAGATCTCTCTCACAACTGATTGAGTAGGAGTATTCCAAACAGCATCGGACAACTTTCTCAGTTAAAGAGCATAGATCTTTCTCACAATCAATTGAGTGGGAGTATTCCAAATAGCATCAGGCAACTTTCTAAGTTAGAGAGCATAGATTTCTCTCGCAATCAATTGAGTAGGAATATTCTAGATAGCATCGGACAACTTTCTCAGTTAGAGAGCATAGATCTTTTTGACAATCAATTGAGTGGGAATATTCCAAATAGTATCAAACAACTTTCTAAGTTAAAGAGCATAGATCTTGATGGCAATCAATTGAATGGGAGTATTCCAAATAGCATCGGGTAACTTTCTAAGTTAGAGAGCATAGATATCTCTGGCAATCAACTGAGTGGGAGTATTCCAGATGGCATCAAACAACTTTCTAAGTTAAAGAGCATAGATCTCTCTAGCAATAAATTGAGTGGGAGTATTCCAGATAGCATCAAGCAACTTTCTAAGTTAGAAAGCATAGATCTCTCTCGCAATCAACTGAGTGGGAGTATTCCAAATAGCATCGGACAACTTTCTCATTTAGAAAGCGTAGATCTTTCTCATAATCGGTTGAGTGGGAGTATTCCATTTAGCATCAGGCAACTTTCTAAGTTAGAGAGCATAGATCTCTCTCGCAATCAATTCAATGAGAGTATTCCAGATAGCATCAAGCAACTTTCTAAGTTAGAGAGCATAGATCTCTCTAACAATCAATTGAGTGGGAGTATTCCAGATAGCATTGGACAACTTTCTTAGTTAGAGAGTATAGATCTTTCTCACAATCAATTGAGTGGGAGTATTCCAAATAGCATCAAGCAACTTTCTAAGTTAAAGAGCATAGATCTTGCTGGCAATCAATTGAGTGGGAGTATTCTAGATAGCATCGTGCAACTTTCTAAGTTAAAGTATTTATTTCTTTCTGGCAATCCATTGAATAGGAGTATTCCATATAGCATTGGGCAGCTTTCTAAGTTAAAGTGTTTATATCTTTCTAGAAATCAACTGAGTGGGAGTATTCCAGATAGCATTGGGCAGCTTTCTGAGTTAAGGCAGCTATCTCTTGTTAGCAATCAATTGCGTGGGAGTATTCTAGATAGCATTATGCAGCTTTCTAAGTTAATGTCTTTAGATCTTTCTAGCAATCAATTAAGTGGGAGTATTCCACATAGCATTACGAACCTTTCTGAGTTGAAGTTCTTAGATCTTTCTAAAAATCAATTGAGTGGGAGTATTCCAGATAACATTGGGCAACTATCTAAGTTAAAGCAGATACTTCTTTCAAGCAATCAGTTGACTGGGGGTATTCCATATAGCATCAGGCAGCTTTCCAAGTTAAAGACTATATATCTGTCTAGCAATCGATTGAGTGGAAGTATTCCAAATAGTATCGGGCAACTAGCTAAGTTAGAGAGCATAGATCTTTCCAGTAATCAATTGGGAATGGGATTTCCCAAATGGCTTCTATTGCAAAATACAACAACCATGGTTGATCTCCCTAATGCTAGCATCTCAGGTCCTCTTCCAGAAAACATTGATCATATGATGCCAATGTTGCGAGAATTATATCTTAAAAATAACCTCATGAACGGTTCAATTCCAAAGTCGCTATGCAATTCAAAATTTTTGGAAGCTCTTGATCTCTCAAACAATATGTTTTCCGGAAGTATTCCCAATTGTTGGAGAAAGAATCAATCATTCAATTTTATTGATCTATCTTCTAACAATCTCTCGGGTTTGTTTCCGAGCACAATGGGGCTACTTTCTTATTTATTGGTACTGCACTTGAACAACAATAGTCTCAATGGGGAACTACATATGGCCTTGAAAAGCTTCACTTCTTTACTGGTTTTGGATTTGGGTGAAAATAAATTTTTCGGAAATTTAACAAGCATTGTAGGAGGCGAGATCAGCAACCATTCTTTAAAAATGCTTCGACTACGAAAAAATTTGGTCTCTGGTTATATTCCTTTGGAACTATGCTTTTTCTCTCGATTGCAAATTTTGGATCTTGCGGATAACAATTTGACAGGAAGGATTCCTCCTTGTTTTGGAAAGTTTCCAATTATGGTGAATGCAACACAATTGATGAAACACATTATTGATGATTATTGGTCTTGGGCACATTTGAAGGAGGTTGTGAAAGGGAGATACCTTGAGTATACAAGAAAAACCCTAGGACTCGAGAGTAGTATAGATCTTTCGAGTAACAATCTAATAGGATCCATACCAAATGAGCTAATTTTCCTTAAGGATTTGCACATTTTGAATTTATCTTGGAATCATCTCTCAGGAAAGATCCCTGAGAAAATTGGACAAATGGAGAATTTGGAATCTCTCGATTTCTCCCAAAATGGCCTCTCAGGAACAATCCCGAATAGTATGTCAAGTTTAACCAAGTTAAGCCACCTCAACTTGTCAGGGCCAATTCCAACAGGCTATCAGCTCCAAACACTTGAAGATCCAACCATTTACGTCAGTAATCCTCAACTTTGTGGAGCTCCACTCTTGAAGAAATGCTCAAATGATGTGCTACCTCCACCAATTGACAACTTGAATGACAACGATGAAGGTGCACTTACAAGAATGTGGTTTTACATCATTGTCATGTTAGGCTTTGCAACTGGATTCTAGGGAGTTGTGGGAACTCTAATTTTTGTAAAAACTTGGAGATATGCTTATTTTCGATGGGTGGATGATGTCCAACATTGGATCCTTGTGGTTATAACATTGAAGGTGGCAAGAGTTAAGAAGATGTTCAATGGCAACCCAGATGATCAGTGAGTAATATATGAAGTATGTTGTTGTTGCTACATTTATTACTAAACTAGTTCCATAACCAGTGTTGTAGGGTATGGTGTCAAGTCCAACTTTGAATGGCCAAACATTGCATCGGTCAATTTTAAATGAACATATAAGTATTGGGGTTTGTAAAGTTTTCAATAATATAACATATGTTGTAGTTTTAAAGGTTTTACAAAAACAAAATTCATAAATTCATACAGAAACTAGTGATTCTGTGCAAGGCTATCAGATTCCATGGATTTCTATCTTTTCAATTTTGTTAACAGAAGAAAGGAGAGAGAGAGAGAGATGAAAGAATGAGATAGGAAGAATGGCTCAACTAAGTATACAATAATAGCCAAAAAAAAGTTCTCATATATTCATGGTCAAAGTTTGGAACTTTCAATCACACACAATTAAATCGCTCAATTGAGTATCCAATATAATGCATCTCTTACATAATATTCCCTTGTCATCGATATTTCCTAAAATACATTTTCACATTGCATAAGGCATATCAACCAAAGTCTCATAAAACACTATCAAGACTAAATAGTGAAGTTTGTCATGTTAGTTTGACCCTAAATAGATAATTGATTTCTACAACAAAAAATGAAACACAATTAATCATTTGTTGTTTTTAATTTTATGTCAACACTCTTGATAGACAAAAGGCCTAAAAGTTGAAGCACACAATGCAAAAGAACCTAGATAAACTTCAAGAATAAAAAGAATATCCACAAAAGGATAAGGATTAATACCTCCAGCTACAGCCTCAGTACTTAGTGTTCCCTTTCTCCTAACAAACCATCTTCAAATAAAGCCACTAAAAAAGAGTATATCTAAGTGAGAAATATATATAGATAATTATGATCTTTTTTCATTTGGACGATGATGTTGGTATATTTTGTATTATTAAAATAAAATATAAGCATGGAGTTTTTGTGACCAAACCTTGAGTCTTCTTCATCCTGCACACTCACGAAGGTGCAAATGCCACCACAGTTGTTATGAAATGACGAACAAGTTTTCAACCTACAAAAGGAATTATATTAAGAAAATTATGCAACTAAAGCTACAGAAAACCTATGAGATAAGATTGTAGGTCTCTATCATGTACATGGTAACATAATACATGTGTAGACAATTTGTATAACAAATCCTACTTCTTAGACAATATTTCTAAAGTAAACAACTCTCACTTCATATTTTTATTGCCATTCCCATCTATACTACTTATAGAAGAGTTTGAGATTTTAGGTTTAGAAGTCTTAAATTCAAATTTTTGGACCAGACTACGAGGGTGAAAAGAGATTTAGAAAATGATAAATAATTATCCCTTTTTGTATTAATGGGGAATATGAAGAAGAAGAAAAAGAAAATTGAAGGGACCAAAAAGATAAAATACAATTCATTGAAGAAAATTAAAGAAAATGAAATAAACTCACAACATCTAGCCATTTGGTTAAGGCAATGTTGGTGAAGAGGAAGAAGAAGACTTGTACCCTAAACTAAAATGTGAAAAAATTGTAGAATCACAAAAAGAAGCTTGTCTCTTTTCTAGATGCCATCTTTCCATTCATTAATTGAATATCATATCAACTTCTCATCTCAATGTTTTATTGCATTTGGCTATCCCTATCTTCTAATTAGAAGTTGTTCCCAACTGTGAAAGGCAAACATTGTGCATGGTTCCACAATCATCTTCTTAACATAATTAAGTTCCATTATTCATAATTTCAAGTTTAATATCTAACAAATTAAGCTCACAAGCTTAAAGCAAAACAACTTTAGATGTTTTGCCTACACCAAATTTGATTTTATTAATCTATCATTCCTTGTTATCATTAACATAAAAGAAGAGAAATTAATGCAAAACCTCTATAATGAATAATAGAGTAAAAACATTAGTTTGAATATTCTTTGTCCCAAGAAAAGAAAACAATTCAAAACTAACTGAGATGGAGTTATATTATTATGTTATAAATTTTAAAGTCATGAATTGTAAATTAAGTTGAAATCTAATAGGTTTCAAATTAGGCTAATTTTTATATTCATTTGGCATATAAGCAAGGTACACACTTTGAAGAAAAAACATATAATTATATAGTTTCAACTTATCAAGATATCAACTTCCTTTTTTAAATAAAAAAAAAAACATAGATTATTCTTTCATTCTGAATCATATGCTTTTCAATTATTAAATGTGAGAAACAATAATTTCCTTTTTCTTAATCAATCATTGTTCTATTCAGTCATGTCTTTAGAGTCAACTATGTCAACGATAACTTCTGAAGTTTGCCAAATTAATACTCTCCTAGCCAAATTAGAAAGCAAGGTTAGTTTTCCAATTAACTTAGTAAATTCATAAGTTGGAATCAATAGCCATTATAAGTTTCATGAAATGGATAACATTGGGTATTAAAAAAACATACCTTTGAAAGAGAAATGGCCAACACTTCTTTACAGACAGTGGCCAAAATCTAAGTTTCCTTTATTGTCTTTTTTCCTAGTTTGTGTTACAGAACATTCTAAACGTCAAAATAAGGCTCCAATTATTAAACAATTTTAGCCACATACAATAATTATGCATCAAGCATTACTGTTTATGATAACAAAATCAAAATCAAAAATTAAAAAATATATATATATCGATTAACAAATCCCAACCACCTAAGTCGAAAATCCCATATCCAATGTTTCCTATGCAACCCTAAAAAAAAAAAAGGGAAATTTGGAATTTGAAAAAGGTTCAACATGTTTCCGCCAAAAAGAGAAATGTGAAAATTGCTTATTAAAGAATTTCAATAGCTATAAAAACAACTCATAGGAGCAAAGAAAACACCACATCCTTTGCTGGGATAAAACCATTTTGAAATGTTAAGATCAATCTCTATTGATACAAAATTTATCCACTACTCAAAATGGGCTAAAAAATGAAGAAAATATACCATAATAAAGATTGTGTGACACACAACAAAATTTACTCAGATATCTCTTGAATGCAAAAAATTAAAAAGATATTAGGATGATAAAGGGATTTACATAATCAATTAGAGTAGAACATATAAAGGATTGTCAACCTTCAAGCTAGCAATTGCAATAAACTGAATAAATCTAATGAGTTTGAAGGACATCATCGAGGGACCACAAAGGGCTAGGGGGAGTGAGGGACAATTATTCTCACCATAACAATCAATGGAATTATGACTAAAGATTGTTGTTTTGCAACATGTCATCTCAGAAAATACCTTTCCAATACGGTTCATCTTTAGAAATTCAAGGGTTTTGTTTGATACACCCAACTCAAAATTCTCAACTAGTTTGACATATGCACCACTGTACTCTACAACAATGTGTATCTTAAATAGTTTTAGATGATTGCCAACATGAAATATACTAACTATGTTGAAGAGTATGGGACATAGATTAAGCAATTCAATAACTACAAATATCATAATAATCAACCATAAAAATTTGACTCTCTCATACAATTAACCTCCAAACATTAACTTCTTAAGGTGCTTCTCAACAAAATTCATCCTGCTCATCCAAACATACTTTTGCATAACTCATTTGCTATTATAAAAATGTTAAAACTTCCCAACCATGTTAAAGAGTATGGGTAAGGGTAAATAGATTAAGTAATTCATGTACAACTTTCCCAATTCAACCTCAAGTGAGTCACACATAGGTCTGACCAAGATCAAGCCAATATTTTTATGGCATATATGGATTTTCACCTTTTTTTAGTGATCACTATTATAAAATGCTAAAGTTGAAGTGGAAACAACTCCAACATCAATGACACCATTGCTTTAGCTGTATATTGATAATAACTACTTCATCTTCGATTTTGAGTTTCAACAAAAAGCATCACAAAAATATCATATCAACAAAAATTACCAAATTTTAAAAAACAAATTCATAATCAAAAGAAAAAAGTAGATGACAAAAAAATGTAGAAAAGTAAAAAACTTCAAAATAAATAGAACCTAGGTTTAGGCTAGTGATGCCGATGAAAACGGAGTGGAACTTCTCCCTCAAAAGACCACGCGTCAACAATGCTTGGATGAGCGCGTTGTAATATCCCAAATTTTCGGGAATTCTAGCATTTATGTTAAGGACTTTTGTGTGAGAAAATACCTCTTCTTCTTGAGGAAACCGATAGAAAGCTTGGATATTTCTCCTTCTTTTCTTGTTCTAGGACTGAAATTGAACCCAGAATTCTTCCCCTGCAGAGAAAATTTCGGATCTGCTTTGCTCTGCTCCTCACCGTCTGCTGTTGTTGCTTGTGGGTGTGATTTTTTCGATTCTGGTAAGAGGAAACAGCCTCTAATTCCTTTGTTCTTCCTTGAATTGGCTTGGGTTTACCTTAATTTCTCTTGGTTCTCCAATTTTGGGTTAATTCCGTGAGTCCCCTGCAGATTGTCGCCGGCCTTCCCCCAAACTGCAGCTCGGGTTTTGCTGGGAAAATTGTGGTATGTGGCAGCTTCTATAAGTCCAAATTTTACCCATTTAATTGCTGAAATTTAGCCATCTAATTGATGCCTATGTTGTCGAAAATCTGCTGGAAAATGGGGAAATTTCAGTAGCTTAAGCTATGTTTTTAAGCTTGGTTTAAGTGTAAATTGCTTGAGTTGACTGCTGTGATTTTGGAGGAAAATCCCGAGTGTTTTAGCCCCTGTTTTTGCCAAAGCTGTGCTCTTCCCTTTTGCCGTGAGAATTGGAGAATTTTGTATGGGTGATTTTGCATATATATAACCCGATTGTAGTGTTCAATTTTGGAGAAAATTCCATGAGATTAACTATGGTTTTGCCAATTTTTGGAAGTTGTGGTTACTGTTCATGACGTAATTACTGTTCACAGGCACTGTTCACAAGCACTGTTCACGCACTAATGGCCAACAATAGGAGGGTTTAAATGTTTAGTTATACTGCGAATGAAATTGAGATGTTTGGTCATATGGTTGAATTTCGTGTGAAGCTCATTGATTAGTAAATTTGCAAGGTTGTGCTAAT